TCCCTCATGGCTCTTTAGCTGTTTCTGTCTGGTTCTGTCTGAGCTCAAACACAGGCTGCAGCTGGACAGGGGATTGTTTGAAGTTAAATTCAGCTCAATCTTCTTGTCCCAAAGCATTGCTCTGTAAGGAAATGCCTCTCTCCAAACCTTGGTCTGAGTATATGATTTAAATAGGGAAGTCTTGGGAGAGTCTCAGGCTGGAGAATAAAACTTGTGTTGGTACTGTGGATAATGTTCCCCAAGGAATAAATCAAATTGATGAATATGGAGGTGTTTTAGAACCTTTAGGATTGTGAAGGTTTGTTGCTGCATCACTGACCTTCCCTCTCAGAGTAGCATGGATTTGCCACAGGTGGTGGGAGACTGTCCATGTCCCTCTCTGTGACTTCTTTTCTTTCCGTGCCCTACCTCGTAGGGGAATTCAAAATCCCAGCCAGCCTTTTGGAGCCACTTGTAGCTTGGTGGGACACTGGTGGATGGTGCCATGGCCAGAGGGATGCAGCTGTGGACAGAAGTGCCACCAGCCCACAGGGATGCAGACAGGCACAGTGGGACTGGGTCAGCCACAAAACTCTTCTCAGTGTTGCAGTGCTCCTGCAAACATGAGAAATGCCATGATAAATCCAGATTTCTTGACCAAGGTCTGTGGTGTGAGTGCTTGCTGTGGTCAACAGCAGCCTGGTCTGCTTCAGAATCCACATTGGAGTGTCCGTCTTGGTCTGGTCTCAGGTGGGCACTGACCTCCCTCCCAGCAGACAGGATGGATGTGCTCTCCTTTCCAGATTGGACGTGCTCCTCTTTGCAGCATTAGAGTACAGATTTCCTTTGCCTTATTTAGTTTTAGGCAAAAAGCGATTTGTTTTGTCTATCCTCGCAAGTGCCAGAAATGTAAAATTTTTAAAAGCCTTCCCAAAAAGCTGCTTTCTTTTTAAGAAAAGAGCAATTGAAATTGTAATTTTTCTTTCTTACTGTCTAATGAATTTATTATCACCTTGTTTAGCCCAAAAGTGTGTTTTGTCCTGCTTAAAACAGGGAGAATTTTTTCCTTTCATCTGCTGCTCCATTAGTTCCTATCAGAGTCATGGTTAAAAAGTTAATGCGCCTGAGTATTTCTGCAGATTGCATCATTGAAGTGTTTCATAACGATATGGCAAAAGTAATTTGAAACAGATAACAATAGTTCAGTCTGTTTCAGGATAACCATGATTTCCTTGTCATTAAGAGGTCTGTTAGCGGGTGGAGGAGGAGGAGGAGTTTTATCTGGATGAGTTACAGATCATATGGCGTGATCAAGTGCGGTTGTTCTTTATTTTTTCCTTCCTCCTCTTTTCCTTCCCTTGAAATCCGCAGCGCTGGACTTGGGTTTGGATATGAAATGATTGGATAGTTTCAAACTCCTGGCTGCACGAAGTGGCTCAGAGCTTCCAGATGTTTTCAATAAGGAGCCCAGAACTGTCGCATCAGCAGCCGGTGGCCGGGGCTGCTGCTCACGTCTCCTCTCCATCTTGAGCAACTCGCCAAAAACAGAGAGAATTATTTACTTGTTAGAGGAGGTTTTTTAAAATTTAATCTTTATTTTCTGATCTTCTGTTTCATTGTGTTTCAGAGCATAAATGCTAAATACTGTCTAAACACTTGTATGGCATTTAAGGACTGCCTAAATAGCTGGACAAAAGAGACTGAAAGTCTTTGTTCTGCTCCATCAGTGCTGAGTTGTGTTCTGTGTCTGCCTGACAGTGCCTGTGTGGATGGCAGGCTGTGTGCAAGGCAAGATTTCTAGCCTGAAACAATGCAGCAAAAGCCCCACCTAATGTGGGAAGAGGGTGATGGTCTCCCAAGGGAGAGTGTGTCTGGCACATTATCTTCTACTTGTTTAAATAACATTCTTCTCCTCCTCTTCCTTCAACAGTAAAGTCTGGAAATGTAGATGAGATGAACTTTGGGTGTCTGTAGTCGTCACTGGCCCCCGATCTTTGCTGTGAGTCAGGAGCAGAACAACAGAAAAAACTTTTGGAAGAAATTAGAGATTTGGAAGCTTAAATTAAAAAAGAAGAGAAGGGCTTTTTTTTTTTTTT